AGAGAGAGAGAGAGAGAGAGAGAGAGAGAGAGAGAGAGAGAGAGAGATACAAATCCAGTCTTTTGTCTATTTATTTACTTTTGGCTGAAGTGGACAAGCCCCAACAGGCCTTTCTACCTGTTCTCACTCTATAGTACTAATTCAGCCATTGTAACTTTCCCTGTCGGAAAAGAAAGCTGAACAGAGAAATCCAACCTTTTACTTACATCGTTGTTCCTCAACCGTGGCAACTTTAAAACCTGTGGACTTCACTTCTTAAAGTTGCCAAGATTGAAAAATAAATTTCATACCACAACCAAGGATAGGAATTTGGAGATGAACTCAAGGGGCCAAAAATTCAAGGTCAACTCCTTGCAAGGGTCAAGACCGTTCAGTGAACGAGGAGCCAGAATTACCCCTTGACCTAATCTATGTCCCAATTTGTTACTGACAGATCAATAATTCTCTTTTCTTATATATTGGGCTTTACATTTGGACCTTATGGAACCAGCTACGTCCAGCAGCTGTTACCACACTCGGTACAACTATAAGGCCCTTCCCCCAGAGCCAGGTTGGGTTTTCGGGGGTTAGACTCCAGGTGAAAACCTTTACCACAGTGGCCGCAGATAAGAAGCCGGTCACTGTCTTCTTCATCAGAGGTATTGCCATTGGTAACACTGGCATCAGCACACAGAGTATCCAGACCAGTCATGTGCGGGATCCCAACACTTCCATCATGGTGGACTTCCATGCTGCCCTCGTCAAAAGTCGGGTCAACCTCACAAAGGAGGTCATGGCTCATGCTGGGGCTGCGAGCACTGGTGTGAGTGCGACGGTGGCGAATGATGTGTGAGCTGAGCCGGAAGCTCTTCCCGCACTCGGTGCACACATAGGGCTTTTCCCCCGTGTGCACCCGCCAGTGGTCCACCAGATTGGAATGGTGGGTGAATCTCTTGCCACACTCAACACAACCATAGGGTTTCTCACCCGTGTGGGTACGTCGGTGATTAGCCAGCGTGGAACTCCCCGAAAAGCGCTTCCCACATTCCTGGCATTGGTACGGCTTCTCTCCAGTGTGAGTCCGCTGATGGCGAGTAAGGCATGAGCTCCCGGTAAATCGCTTACCGCACACACTGCACTGGTAAGGGGTAACTCCTGTGTGGCCGCGCCGATGCAGGTTGTAGTTGGAGCTTTGAGAGAAGGCCTTGCCACACAATTCACAATGATATGGCCGTTCCCCGGTATGGAAACGCCGATGTTGGAGGAGGTTGGAACTAGCTGTGAAGGCCTTGCCACAGTCCCCGCAGACATAGGGGCGCTCCCCAGTGTGCGTCCGCTGGTGCTTGGTGAGCGCCGAGCTCTGGTTGAAGCTGCGGCCGCAGTCATTGCAACGGTATGGCTTCTCTCCCGTGTGGATGATCTGATGCTTGGCCAGGTTCGAGCGGCGGCTAAAACTCTTCCCGCACACGCCACAAGTGTTTGGATGCAAAGAGGAAGACTGCAAGAATGGAGAAGAAAGCGTGAAGAAGGGTTTTGGGAAAAAATGATATGCCTGCCTAAACCTTGTTCTCCTACTTCTGAAATGGGTGCTCAGAAAAATATGGCTTATTTGTGCCCCATCCCTTTCAACAATGGAATTTCTGAAAAATACAATAGCTAACTGTATTTATACAAGCAGGGGCTTCTTCAGAAAGAGGTAAAAAAAAAAAAAAGAATCAAGATGATTTGTGGTTGAATCCACCTACTGGAATACCACCAATCAGCTGTTCCGCTGATCAGCTGTTTCAGGCTGCGGGGATCACTGCCATCCATCAGTGCCATTGCAACCCAGCGCTGCTACCACCTACCGCTGCCTCCCTGCACCCCAATTTTTGACCTCCATGCATCCCATTTTAGGCTTCTGCACGTCCCATTTTCAGTCTCCACACATCCTGTTTTCAGCTTCCGCGCCCCCCATTTTCACCCTCCGTGTGTCTTGTTTTCGGCCCATTCTAGGCAACAGGGATAGGCGGTGGTGGCAATCCCCACTGTCTGGAACCGGCCGAAAAAGGGATGTGCGGAGGCTGAAAATGGGGGCATGTGGAAGCTGAAAATCGGGTGCACAGAGGCGGCAATAGGTGGTAGCACCGATGGGCAGTGACAGCGCCGATGGGTAGTGGCGATCCCCGCAGCCTGGAACAGCTGATCGTCATTATTCCGGGAGGCAGATCCAACCGCCAATCAGCTGCTCATGCTAAATCAGGCTGTGCTGAAGCTGACCAGGCTGTTTGCTGTTTGTTGCAAGGAGACAAATTGCTGGGAGGCAGGGTTTCCCCCCCCTTGTTTTCCTCCCCAAAAGCTAGGTGCATCTTACAGTCTGGAGCGTCTTATAGGCCAAAGTTGTAGTGCCCCGGGATCATGTGATCACCTTTGGCTTTGATAAGCAAAGTCAATGGGGATACTAGATCCACTTAACAACCATGTTACTAACTTAACAACTGCAGTGATTCACTTGACAACTGTGGCAAGGAAGGTCGTAAAATGAGTCACTTAACAACTGTCTAGCTTGTCTAGGGAAATGTTGGGGTCAGTTGTGTTTGTAAGTTGAAGACTACTTGTACGTGCATTCCTGTAGCCACCATCTTGACTTTTGACTAGTGATGGGATGGCCTGGAAAAATCCCAGAAAAATGTGGCAGGGGGACAAGTGTTTTTTCATTTCTTGTTTTTTTCAAATGGCTTTCAAAAAAAATGAAAAGAAAGAAAAAACCCAGAAAAACCTGAGTTTTCCCTAGTTTTCCAGGATTTTTCCAGGTGTTCCCATCTCTACTTTTGACACACACATTCCTTTTTGCCTCAGAATAAGGAAAGATGTCCTGATCCATAAGTTCATTTTGGTTTTGCATTGTGCAATCGAAATTCAAATCTCTTTGGTGAACAGAAGATTTTGGGAAAGGACGATTTTGGGTGCTACTCCAGAAAAAATAATTCTCAAGTGGAGAATTATTATTATTTCTTTCTTGTCACTTTATTTTAATTATCGGCCACCCAACTCCATCCTGAGGACAGAAGCAAGCTTTAGAATTTCTTTTTCAATCAACCCAGGAACTAATATGTGCTAAGTTCTGCTGAACATCCAAGATAAAAAGCTTTGTTCAACTTTTCCTAAGATGTGGGCTTCTCAGACATTCATTTATTATTATTGTGTGGATCAGTAACACCTGAAAGGGGCAGATATAGAAAATTCAAGATGGCAGCTACAACCGTCCAATTGAAGCCCCACCCATTTTCAATGGGCTTTGACTGCACTGCTGCTGCAGCCATCTTAACGTTTTTTACTCCTCCCATAGGGATGCTTTTAGTTGGTATATAAGATGTGGGCGAAACTAGCAGTGGCTAGTGGCTTGTTGGCCAAAACCAACAAGCTCAGGAAAAAAGTATTAAAAAAACCTGAGTGACATCAGCTGAGAATTGTGGAAACAGCAATCTTGATGTTTGTGTGTTTGTTTTCTTCCTTTTTTAAATTAATATTGTCACCTACTCACACATGGAGACTCAAGGCAGCTTACACGGATATAAAACACCATATGAAAGAAAAAATAATAAAAAGAAAAATAATAAAATAACCCCCACCCCGGCAACAAAATACATTCATACTAGCCATTTAATGGACTTATTCCAGCTCTGGATTCCCCAGGCCCACTGACAGAACCACATCTTCAGCTCCTTCTGAAAGAGGATTAGAGTGGGGGGGCCATTCTAATCTCTTGTGGGGGGGGGGGAATGATGTTCCAGAGAGAGGGAGCCATCACAGAAAAGGCCTTTCTTCTAGGTCCCGCCAGATGTATCTCCTTAGGAGATGGGACCCGCAACATTCCTTGCCTCTCCATTCTAGTGGGTTGGGTAGATGCAACCGGCAAGAGACGGTCCCTTGGATAACCCGGTCCCAAGCCATGAAGGGCTTTAAAGGTGATAACCAGCACCTTGAATTGTACCCGGAAGCAAATCAGAAACCAATGCAGTTCCCCAGGAGAGGTGATATATGTGCACACCAAGGTCTGCACAAAACCATGCAGGCTGTTGCATTCTGCACCAACTGGAGCTTCTGGATGCTCTTCAGGGGCAGCCCCATGTAGAGTGTATTGCAATAGTCAAGATGGGAAGTGACTCGGGCATGAGTGACCGTGAGTAGGGATTGTTGATCCAGGAAAGGGCGTAATTGGCGCACAACCTGCAGTTGCGCAAAGGACCTCCTGGCTATGACTGCCACTTGCTCTTTGAGCAGGAGTCGCAGGTCCAGGACAGCCCCAGATTACAAATCTTAAGAATACTAAGTTTGGAAGTCATGTTTAAGGGGGGCTTTCTCAGTGCTACAGCCCTCTGAAGTGAAACATGCACCTGGCCAAATTCTCTTTCAAAGCCCTGGGGCAAAATATGCTCTGGGCGGCACATATGTGAATCATGATACAGCCAGTCCTGAAAAGTCTGATATGTTTAGTGCTGAAGCATAGCTGCGGAACTACAAGTAGTTTTCGCCTTACATCAGTTCATTTAGCGAGCATCCAAATTTCCAACAGCATTGGGGGAAAAAAAGGACTTTTGACCATTTTTTACATTGATGACCACTGCAGCCTCTCTCCCTGGTCAAGTGATCAAACTTCAGATGCTTGGCAATTGGTTCATATTTATGATGGTTGCAATGTCCTGGGGGTCATGTGATCAGTTTGTGCGACCTTCTGACAAGCACAGTCAACAGGGAAGCCAGATTCACTTAACTAAGTAGTAACCAATTAATTGTTGCTTATTTAACAACTGCAACAATTCTCTTAACAACTGAGCCAAGGAAGGTGGCTAAAAGATCTTTAGTCCAACCCTCTGCTCAAGGCAGGAGTCCTTAAACCAGCCCATATTTTGAAGATCCCACAGTTGTACTTTACTACTCACCGAACCCTCTATTGGGATGGTGACTTTCTGCACCTCAAACTCTTGTACCTTCTGCTCCTCAGATTCCACCTTCATCTCTTTCTGAGTTGAGGAACCTCGTGAAGGTGCAGGACCCAGCTGGTTTGGGCAGAGACAAAACAATCCAAATAATAACAATCCTTAAAGGACTTCCGGTTTGGTCTGCCTCGAAGACGGACCGAAATCCGCGATTGTCCGCGGTTTCGGTTCGTGCTCTCTCGTTGGAGGGCCTCAATCATCCTGATTTGGGGCCGGAGCCACCTTGTAGGAGTGGCGAAGAAGGGGGAGACCACCAGCTGGGTTGAGGGGAGCCACATCTCCCCTCCTTAGCTTGGTAATTACTCTCCTCCGAAGACGACTGCAGCAGTGGCCAATAAAATGGCTACCCCGAAGAGATAAGTCTACTGGGACAAGATTGTGCAGGAGTGGGAAGAAGAGGACGGCATACAAACCAGGAGAATTTGAGCACAAGATACCCTGGATTTAAATTTTTCAAAATTGTTAAGAGAGTGGATTTGAGTGGCGGACAAAGACGTTAAGAAAGGAATACTTGATAGCTTAAGTGGCTTTGAATTCTAAAAGGAAGAAGCCGGAAGAAGAAGCTTACCTTTGAATTAGTTAAATATATAACCTTGACACTAAATAGGCAATTAAAGCTGGATTGGACTGTGTCAAGGTGGAAAATAAAATTAAAAATTGAATTTATTGAATCTATTTGGATCTATTGACTTTGGAACTCTAAAAGCCTGAATGAGAGAGAAAAAGCTGGGAAAAAGAATTGATTCTGAACATGTGGTAAAGGGAATTGTTTACTTTCATCCCTTCCTATCTTAAAGCTTGGAACTGCTAAAGACCTATTTGATACAAAGTAACCCAAATTAGGATACTACAAAATAGAGACCTTGTAAAGTGAAAGTGGAACATTAAAACAAAGGAAAAATCATGGGATTGTTTGGTGTCTCTGGCATAAACTTTAATTTATGGACACTGAAATGTGGAATCAACCTGGAAATCTTCTGGAGAGGAACTAATAAGAGTTAAACATTGAAAAAACTTTATGGATATTGTTTAAAGATGGCAGGAATGCTTTTGGAACTAAAATTGGAACTTAGAAATATGAAAGACATGCTACAAGAAGAAGGCAAATTGCTTGGTTTTGCCCTACAATATTTAGAAATGGTGATTTCAGAATATGAAAGACAACAAGAAGGGCTAGAAGAAGAGGAGCCAATCAAAAAAGTGGCCATCTTTAATGAGCATCTGAAACAACGAAAACTTAAGCGAAGGGAGAAAAGAAGGGGAATTAAAAATAAGTTTGAAATTGAAAACCAAACAAAGTGAAAGGAAACAGCGGGAAAGGGAATTGCAGAAGGGAGTGCTGAAAAAGGAGGGGGATAAAAATCGGGGTAATAAAAAGAGGGAAAGAATGAAGCAGGACCATGAAATAAAGAAATATGGCAAGCAAATAAGAATGAAAAGGAATTGTTTATTTAAAAGGCATGGAAATAATGGTTAATTGAGATTTAAAGAAGGGGATTCTACAAGTTGATAAGGTGTAGCTTAAATAAGTTAAAAATAATAAACTATCTAGAAAATAGTGGAATGTAGATTATTAAAATGGGAGATGGGAACTGATACTGTTCTGTTATTGTAATGATTGTTTGCTCCTTTCTTTTTTGTATGGAATTAAAAGAGATAATTAGAATAAGGATATTAATGTTTAATGAATTTATAAGTTATAGTTAAAATGGAGTACGAGTATTGTTGGTAGGAGAATAATATTAGTTCTTATGATGAAGTGAAGAGATTATGTTGTTTTTTCTTTCTTTTTAAATCAAATATACTTTTTATGTAACCAAAAGGGAAACTTGCAGATTCAGATTTCAAAAAGATATATACAATGTACTAACTACTAGAAAATTATTATGGATTTTTTCTTTTTTTCAGTGTTAATTCAAAATTAAAATTATGGGAATTTTAGGGGGGAACTAATTATATGGTATGTTAACCACAGGGGTGCCACCTCAAAATGGCAATAATAGGGGTGTTTTATTTTCTTTCTTTTTCTATATTTGAAAAGTTTGAATTGAGACTGAATCTTTAGAATGATGAATTAAGTATATGCGAGGAAACTGCAAACCTGACAGAAGATAATATAAAATATGAATATGAAGATATTTAAAGAGGCATTAAGAATTTAAGGAAATAGATTAAGTAATGAACTGAGAAAATTTATAAAATAAGCTGGAAGAAACTAGATGATTAAAATTAAAGAAAATATATAAAGTAAGGTTAAGGTATGTTATTAAATGTGAAGAGTAGGAAATGAAAGTCAAGTTTGTATGGAAATGTGTTGACTTGGAATCATGCTATTCACTGAAAAAAGATGTTTTTAATATGTGAAAATTGAATAAAACTCTTTTAAAAAATCCTTAAAGAACTTCTTTCCTTACAAGTCGGTTCTTCCACCCATCCAATTAAATCTTCAGTGTTTCTATTTTCCTTATCTCCACTCACCGGTTTTCCACCTGCAGAAAGTTCCATCTCAAATTCCAGATCCTTCTTCTCCTTTTTTTCAGTCTTTACTCTAAGAAATCGCTTTTCTTCATTACCATGAACTCTGGCAGACAATCTATCCCGGAAGGAGGAAGAATCTAGCTGGAAAACCCAAAGGAGCAAAAACAAGAGATTCAGCATTTACCTTAGTGTTGTGGTTAGCCGGCAGCAGGTGCAGATGGCTGAGGAGAGCGATGACTGATGAGGGGCCAGGATCATCAGGGAGTGGACTGCTGCCTTCAGAGACTGTGGGGGCTGGCAGCAGTGACGAGGAGGTTCCTGCGGAGCTTGTGCCAAGTGCACGTGCACGAAGGATTACTCGGAGGAAAGAACAATTACAGCAGCACAGGCGACTCAGGAGTAAGGCTGCAAGGTAATGGCCCCTCCCTCAAGAGGATAAAAGCTAGGTTTGGAAAAGTGTTCTTTATAGACAGCAAAGAAGCTCTAAAACTCAACTGGTGGACATCTTAGTTCGTGTTTGGAGAATTTTGTAAATTAGTTCTTATCTCTGGGTTTTTGGCAGCATTGAGGAACACCTTGGCAAGGCTCTTTCTTGTCGGAGCTAATTAGTGGAAAGCAGCCTTCAGAACAGAATTCGTTATTAAACCTTAAAAGGTGGGGGCTGCTGCCTTTGTCTGTGTTTGTTCTTTGGGAACCTGGTTGGGTTAAAACACTTAGGTTCAGTTTGTTCCCAAACAAAGAGATATACATCTTACAACCAATCTTAAAAGTTAATGTCAACAATATATTTTAGCTTGCAAGTTCCCCACGTAAACAGCAACAGGATTTTTACACAGTGAGGTGTAATAACTTCACTAGGTTGCAAATTACTATAACTAAGTGTCCACAAGGAATCTTCTCAAGTGGAACACCACAACATGAATGCTAAGTACTCAGCAAGTCAAGCCTATGTATTTCAGATTTAAATAAATGTTCCCATTATATTTCACAGGGAAGGCCATTTGAAATAACGAATGAGTTTCATATCACAACTTCTAAAAGCCTGATTTTGTTTCTTTCCTGCATTCGTTTTGTCAAATCTGTGTGGTATCCAGTGATGCATAAGCTATTTGTCCCCCTAAACCTAACCATGCTTTTAGTAATTACGTTACAGCCAAGAAAAATGTGACTGTTTCAGATCCAGCCTGTTCCTGCAAACTTCAGGGAAAAAACACATGAAATGTTGGCGTTATACACCTTGATATCTCGAATCTTTTCCACTCCCTTTTTCAGTCTAGCATTCAGTCCCAAGGATTCCCAGGACCGGCCCTCACCTTCCGCTAGTGGTCCATCCATCTGAAAATACAGAAGGGAGGAAATGGAATCCATTAAAAAATTAGACATAGTTCTAAATTAGATATCAAAATATTCTAAGAACTTCCTATATGCTACTCTGGTCTTCCTTATACAAGTAGTTGGAATAGAAAGAAATATAAGATGTTTGGCATTTTTAAACCACTGGGTGTATGTGGGGAGATGATCACACTTTGTGATTATTTATCTTGTTCCCATCTTCATCCATTGTAGGAGCTTCTAAAACAGACATTCCCTTGAATTAAGTTTTTTCTGTACCCTCCTTGTCCTCATCCATCGTGAATGCTCAGGCAAAAGTAAATGGCTTTTGGAGAGAAACCAGATTAAAAGAAATCTCCCTCTTTAATATAGCTCCTGAGAAGCAAGTAACCTGTCAACTGCCTGCCATCAGGTCCCGCAACAGCCCCATGAAGTCAGTGAGGTAGTAATAAAGACGGGATACAAATCAAATCCATAAATAAACAGATGGCATTTGGACTGTAGCACTCAAAGCTCTCGCCAAAATTGGCTTCATCCTTGAAGAAAGTCCAGACTTCTATTAAGTCCTTAGCATAACCCTGGTTTCCAGGAGGACTTAAAGACAACATGGTATCTCTGTGGAGGATACAAAGTAAGATCCCAAGACTTAATCCTGTCTGGACTGTGATCCCCAGAAAATAAAGGGAGTTTACCTGTACATGTAATCCTTGACTTACAACAGTTCATTTAGTGACCATTCAAAGTTATAACAGCACTGAAAAAAATGATTTATGGCTTTTTCACACTTACGACCATTGCAGCATCCCCATGATCATGTGATTTACATTTGTATGCTTGACAACTGGTTCATATTTATGATGGCTGCTTGATAACTGATTCATATTTATGACGGTTGCAGTGTCCCAGGGTCATGCAATCCCCTTTTGCAACCTTCTGACAAGAAAAGTCAATGGGGAAGCCAGGTTCACTTAAAAAAACATGTTAATAACTTAACAACTGCAGTGTTTCATTTAAGAAATGTGGCAAGAAAAGCTCACTTTGCAACATAAACGTTGGGCTCAATTGTGATCATAACTCGAGGATTAGCTGTATTTTTTAAAAAAAAAGGGGGGGGGGAGAATCAAAGTCATGAAGGAAGGCTTCTTCCCAGAGGCTCGAAGATTGGCAGGTTGAAACCAGGACCCGCTGCACCCCATCCCCATCCCTTGGCTGCCTGTTTCCCCGGACACTCACCTGAGGGTTCAGCCTTCATTCCACAGCTGGGGCGAGGTGGGGGTGGGTGGGGGTGGCGGACGATCTACAGCAACAGCTGACTTCTCCAGCCCACGTGCGCGGTTTTCCTTTCCACGCGATCTTTCTGCGCTCAGCACCCGGAGAGGAGGGGAGGCTGTGACCCGGAGGGTGGGTGGGCTGAAGCCGGTGGGCCCGAGAGGGGGAGAGATCGGGACCACTCGGGGGAAGGACGTTGAGCGAGAGGATGGGATCGCTTCCTCCGGGGATCCGGCTTGCCAGCCTGCTCACCCGGGCCTCTGGCGGGGAGGAAAGGAAAGGAGGGGATCTTCGTAGATGCTGGGGAAGAGGGAGGGAGAAGAGCCCGGCAAAGAAGATCAGAAGGATCCCTCGCTGCGGCCCTCCCCCGCAGCCGCCCCAAAGCCTGAGAGCGATCCGCTCTCGGGGCGCTTTTACGGCCGTCCTCCCGAAGTAGCGACCCTGCCTCGAGGAGCGAGGTGTGCGTGAAAGACTCCGAAGGGGACGGGAGGAATGCTGGGCGAAGAAGAAGGGGGGGGGGGGAAATGACAGAAGGCGGGCTCTTCGCGCTGATTGGCTAACGTGGCCGGCCCCCCCCTCCTCCTTGTTTGTAATTGGCAGAGAAAGAGAGAGAGAGAGAGAGAGAGAGAGAGAGAGCGGCTGCGGACAGAGAACGGCAACCGCTGGAGAGGCGCCGTCCCGAGCACTGGGTTGGGCACCCGAGTTCTGGTCCTGCCCACTCTCTCTCCCCTTCATACACTAAGCCCACCTAGAACCGGGATCGCGCCCGCTCATTGGCTGGGACCTCCCCGTCGCTTTAACGGGGCGCGCGACGGGAAAGAAGGGGGGGGGGGGGGACTTTCCAGCTGGCGGAGCCGGTGTTGGATCGGCGTCCTATTTAGAATTGGGGATAGAGTAGGATAGGATAGGATAGAAAATATGGAAAGGAAAGGAAAGGAAAGGAAAGGAACGGAACGGAACGGAACGGAACAGAACAGAACAGAATAGAATAGAATAGAATAAGAAATGAATAGAATATAGAACAGAACAGAATAGCATAGAATTCTTTATTGGCCAAGTGTGTTTGGACACACAAGGAATTTTTTTTGGTGCATATGCATACAAACATACAAACAACAAAGTGATAAATCATGATTATGATAATCATAAATCATAAGATAAATGATAAGGAAGGTCTAGAAAGAAGCAAGGGATTAGCATGGAGAAAGGCTGTCCTGGAAATTCCCTGTACGAAGCAGGGCTAGAGTCTGATTCCCACGGTTTCCATTTGGATTCATGCCTCTAGTACTGTACAGCGTTTCTCAAGCTTGGCAGCTTTCAGACATGTAGGTTTCAACTCCCAGGAAGCTGATTGGGGGATTCTAGGAGTCTTATGGTTGCCTTCAGTTTGAAAAACACTTGCTCTTGGGGCGATCAATGCAATGGTTGTAAGTGCGAAAACCAATCATAAAGCAGTTGTTTTTGTGCCATTGTAATTTTGAACAGTCACTACATGAATAATTTTAAGTTGAGGAGTACCTGTATCAGGAATGGTTTCAAACAATTCACAAAGTCATCCCGATTGTGTTTTCCCACAATATGTTAAATTGAAATGTTCTGCTGGCTCAGTGTTCCTCAAATTTGACCACTTTTAAGATGCATGGACTTCAACTCCCAGAATCCCCCATTCCATACATCTTAAATTGCCATATTTGAGAAACAAGTGTGCTGGTTTACTGCAGATTGATTCTATGTCAGCACAATTTGGACAAATTACTAAGGACTTGTAGCTTCAGTGTCCATCACTCTTGTTGTGCCCCCAGGAAGCAAATATAAAACTTTGGGTTGTGATATATGTCTTTCTACACTCACCTTACTCGGCGGGGCGGGTGGAGGGAAAGGCCCATGGACTCAATTACAGGTGCAATGCTTGCAATGTTGGAAAACCCAGTCTACTGATGTGATGAATAAGGAAAGGCATCACTTTATGTTGGTGGTCAACCAATCAACATCACCTTATATCCCTATCTTGAAAAATTAGCTTGCAGCTAAATTACAGCATCCCATAACTTCAATAAACAAAGAAAAGCAACTTTGCCTCTCTGAAACTGGTATATTTTCAGGTCAGTCGAAATGTGTTCTCAATGCATGGTAAAAAATGTTAAGATGGCCATGGCAATGTGATCAGACAAGACTCCAGGACATTAACCAGACTCTGCAGATGGCCCTTCTGTCCAAATGTATCCTCTGTTTCAAAAGGACAAGGAATATGACAAGTTTATGCATGTTGCCATTGATTGAAAGCTTTGGGCTGTCCTCTCATTTTTGTTCTCTTATAACTGGGATTTTTTCCTTCAGGCAACTGGCACTTAAACAAAAGGATTTCCATATTAAATTAATCTTAATAGAGATTGAAGATAGGCAGCCTGCTTCAGCACTGTGTCTTTTATATTGATGGATTACAACTCCTATTGAAATCCTATCATTTATTTTTAAGAAGTGGTGCTTTTTATTTTTTTAAAAAAACTTTCTTGCCCATTTTTTTTCAACATTATTTGAAGAAAGGGAAGAGATACAATCATTTTCTTTCCTGGCAGAGGTTTTTGTGTGTCTTTAGAAGGGAGTTGGGTGAGTGGTAGAATTTGCCAATTTTCTTTGTCACAAGATCAAAGTGAGATGTAAAGCTATGATGGTGCAGTGTACTGTAGGCTAACTCACTGCTCACTCCAGGAGTTCAATTCTGAGCAGTCAAGGCTAACTCATCTGACCAAGGTTGGTAAAATGAGGACCCAGATTGTTGGAGGTGACTCTATAAATCGGTTAGAGGGGGCTGTGTAGCAGTGTATAAGTTTAAGTGCTACTGCTAAAACTGCCACTGCAGTGTCATCCTGTCAGTATAATGGGTGAAGGTTTTGACAGAGAGGGCAGCAGATGGGCAATTCTGAGGTGAGAAAGGAGGGCAGGGGATAAGGACCCTTCTGAAACAATGTGATTTGTGTAAATGCCACAATTCATGTCCTTGCAATTTGGCTTATGCTTCATTATGTCCTCCAAAGTGTGTAACTATTTTGATGTCACTGCCAAATGCTGTGGATACCACTAACCTCCTCCAATTTTTCTCCACTGTAACAACTCTACTAGAAAGAGCAAGAAAGAGAGGCCCAAGTCAAGCAGGTAAATTTAAACCTGGTTCTCCAGAAACTCAATTCCATAACCCAGTGTTTTTCAACCTTGGCCACATATGGAGTTCAACTCGCAGAATTTCCCAGCCAACAACCAAGTCTTACATTCCAGGAACCTCACATCCCAGGGCAAAGTGTCACTGAGAAACATGTAGTATCTTCCTGAGATTTTGGAGCGTTACCCTGAACCAGCAATGAAGTTCTTTATTTCCTATCCTGAAAACTGAAAACAAGGATCAGTCTACAGAATCTACTATAGACAGTATTTAGGAAAATAAACTATACTTCCTTAGTTGCAAGAATGATTTGGAAGAGTTTCTCTTACATTTCCCATTTTCCCTGCTTTTCAGACCCAATACCAAATCCAGCTGTGGGACAGTGCATTGGGTAAATGAGCATGAGAAAAAGTTAGTTTCCTACCAAATACTGTAGCTTTCTTGTCTTGGGGGTGGTTTTGAGTTGGTCAGAGCAGTGTTTCTCAACCATAGCAATTTTAAGAAGTGCAAACTTCAACTCTCAGAATCTCAGAGAGGAAAAAACTGCAAGCAGAAAATTCATTGGGGTGGTGGCAGTTATTTAGAAGGAGTTGAAATTACTGGTAATCCTCAACTTCATTTACTGACTGTTCAAAGTTGCAACACTACTGGAAAAAGTGACCTATGAGTATTTTGTCAGTTACAACTATTGCAGCATCTCCATTGTCACATGATCAAAATTCAGATACTTAGCAACTGGTATGTATTTATAACGATTGCCAGTCATGTGATCACCTTTTGCGACCTTCTGACAAAGTCAGCGGGAATTGGAAGCCAGATTCACTTAATAATCGTGAATGATTATTAGCAAGGGCAAAATTCACTTATCAACTGTCTTGCTTAGCAACATAAATTTTGCTCTCAATTATAAGTCAAGAACTACCTGTACAGAAACTTATATTCAAGTACACCTACCACCTACTGTACAAAGAACTGAACTGAATTCTTTATTGGCCAAGTGTGATTGAATACACAAAGAATTTGTCTTGGTGCAAATGCTCTGTGTATATAAAAGATAAATTCGTCAAGAATCATAAGGTACAATACTTAATAATAGTCAAAGGGTACAATAAAGCAATCAACTCGTACTAGGTGTCAGGTGGTGCTCCATTCAAAATCCAAGAAAGAAATACTTAGACTCTTTAGATTAAAGATATTTTTTAATGAAAATGAAGTGGTAGCAACCATAGAAGTCTGAATCTGAGGAATTAGGTGCGTAAATCACATATACAAAGTGATGGAAACGTTCCCACCCCCAATAGTTCAAATGATTCTTCCAATTAAAAGTTGTGAATATGATCATGTGGACATCTTCAGGTGGTGATGAGGCCTCTGTCCGTTGACCTTGGCATATTTTGATAAAGGGTTGCAGCTGCGCAGAGAAAAAGAAAGCTAAGCGAGAAATAGAAACCTAAACAGAAATGTATACTCCCCCCTCCTCATTATATACACACTAGAATGTAACACCTCCAGCTCGCTTCCCAGACTTTACCCCCTCCTCCCCCTCCCTTACTTATGGCAGCCGAAAGATGCAAAACAATAGTAGAAGATCTTGATGGCTGACACTAGGAAACAGTCAATAAAAACCGTAAGGATACAAGCAACAAAGTTACAGTCATAGAAGCAGCATGTTTAATTGGAAGGGATCTCAATGGTCATCTAGTCCATCCCTGTTCAGCAGTGGACCCACAAAGTTCATGCCTGATAGTCATCCAGCCCTCTTGTGCAAACCTCCTGCTAGAGGGAGTCCGTCCAATCAGTCCATTTATCTCTGTTTTTCTCAGAAGGAGCAAATCTCGATGCAGTATTGAAGAGAATATGAGCCAGATATACATTTTTATTCTTTATTTATAATTGTATATGATTAAGATCCAACTCTCCCTACACCCCTTAGTTTTCTCCCATCCGTTCAGGCGTTTAAAATCTGCTTTGAAATCAAGCTTTCACCTTGGAACAGAGTAATCTGATTCATAAATAGCAACGAAAACGCCTTTCCAAAGAGTAAAGGGGTTTGGAAAGCACTGGCCCTTTAAATATTCACATCTGGAATGTGTCTTATTGCAAAATGGCTACCGATTTTTGATGAGGTGCCTTATTTTGATAGCCTCTCTTTTCTTGCCCACACTCAAAATGGTGGGCCTTTTTAACTTTAACACTCCATTGGCCCGAAATGAGACGGCAGTTACAACGTTTTTCTTACAATGCAACGTCTAGTTTCATTTCCCCCCGTTTTGGCCATTGACTAGTAACTGAAAGATTTATCCTATTAATAATAGGAAGGAGGCGCTGACGGTGTCAGTGACGTCACCGAAGCGTGCGCCCTTTAAAAAAGATGGGGGAAACTCAGGGCGAGATATATATAAT